TAATCCTTAAAGAAATTTAAGAAATGAGAAAAAAAAGTCTTTTATATTTGCTCATGTATTTATTATCTCTGCCATTTTTATTCCTTCATGTATATCCAGGTTTCCTTCTAGTATTATTTTCCTTTGGTCTGAACACCTTCATTTAACATTTCTTGTAGTGTGAATTTATTGGTGATGAATTCTTTCGACTTCCGCTTTCAGTTTTTTGTCTGAAAATGTCTTTATTCATCTTTATTTTTTAAGGATATTTTTGATGCATATATAATTCTGGATTGACCATTTTTTTCATTACTTTAAAGATACTCCATTATCTTTTGAATTACACTTTATCCGGTGAGAGGTCAGGCCATTCTCATTATTGTTCCCCTGCCTTTTTCCTTTTGGATATTTTAAAGATTATCTTTGATTTTCAACAGTTTGACTTCTGTGATATGCCTGGTTGTGGTTCACTGTGCTTCTTGCATCTGTGAGTTGTTATTTTCCATCACATTTGTCTAAAATGTTAGGTCAGTATATCTTTACATTTTTTTTCCCCTGCTTCAGTCACTGTCACCTTTTTCTGGAGTGGATTGCAATTGCACATATTTTAATTGCTTGATATGGTCCCACAGGTCACTGAGGCTGTGTGCTTTTTTTTCCCCCCTCCCTAGCCTTTTTTCTCCTGCTGTGTTTCATTTTGGATAGTTTCTTTTGACCTTTATTTTAAGTTTATTGATCTTTTCTTCTGCATTGTCCAGTCTGCTTTTAAGCCCTTCTAGTGAATTTTTCTTTCAGTTAATGTAATTTTAAGTGCTATTATTTCCATTTGATTCTTTGTTCTAGTCTGTATTTCTCAACCATTATGTTCTGTTCATCATGTCCATCTTTTTCTGTACCCACCATTGCCAATGAGTCAATTCTGACTAATAGTGACCTTATACGTACTTAGTATATTTTAACAACTACTTTAATTTCTATGTTAATGTTTGCTAATCCAACATCTCCATTATTTCTGGGTTTGTTTAGATTGGCTGTTTGTTTTTCCTTATTTATGGAGCATATTCTTTGCATGCCCAGTAATTTTTTATTTATGTTCTGGCACATAGTTAATTTGCTGACAAATCAGTTTTATTCTTTTGAGTCTTGATGTTAGAGTGGGTCTGAAGCAGGGGTGGACAGGCTTTTTCCTAAAGGGTCAACTAATAAATATTTCAGGCTTGCAGGCCATGTTGTGTCTGTACCTACTCATCTCTGCCTTTATGGTGCAAAAACAGCCGTAGACAATATGTAAATGAATGGTGGCACACAAGCCATAGTTTGCTGACCCTCAGTCTGGAGTATCACTTCTGGTTAGGATAGTCCAACTTTTAAGGTGTGACCTCTTTGGGATCTCAGTCATATGTCTGGGTGTTAGGGTGTTCAGCAAAGCCTCTCCATATAGGCTGTTCAAAACTCTTAGGTCTTCCAGCACTGTGTGAGCTCCAGAATATCCATTCATCTCACAACTCTCCCATAGGTTTCTTTGCTGGGCCTTTCTGAGTCTCATGCTGTTTATGTGCAGCATAGTATTCAGCCAAAGATTTAAAGGAAACCCCATCCAGATTTCTGGTGCTCCTTCTCTATGAAGCTTTCCTCTGTTACCCTGACCTGCAAATTCCAGACAACTCAGTGACCCCCAATTATAGCCTGCCTTCTCAGCTCAGCCAAGCGCAGTGTTCTGCTTGCATTCCTCCCCCCTGTGCTGTAGACCAGAAGGTGCCTCAGGCAGAAAGCCAGGGCAGTCGCCTCCTGTGCTTTCTCCTCTCTGGAATCACATTCCTGTACTGCGTGCTGTCTGATAGCTTAGGATAGTTGCTTCATGTGTTTTGCCCAGTTTTGTACACCTACTCTTCATTTATCGACATGGTTAGATTCCAAGACCAGGTCATTATGTGAAAATCAGTGTTACGTGAAAATGGAGGGTGATTACATTCATTACGTGACTGCCGGATTACATCATTACATAACTGTCAAACCACTGAGAGTCATGGCCTAGCCAAGTTGCCACACAACCTTGACCATCACAGCCAGCATTACTCTCGCCTCACACCTTGTTGTTCATTACTGCCAGACATTCATTGTTAATGCACAAAATAGTTGAATGGTAGATTTCTTTCTTTTTCTTTTTTTTTTTTTACTATTGTTGTAAACGGGAAATGTGGATAATGAGATAGTCGATAAGTGAGAGCAGGTGTAGTTTATGTTGGGTTAGTCTGGTACAATTACTGTCATAGACAGAAGCAGAAGTTCCTCTGTGGTTTTAAAATTTAATTACTTTCCTTGTTTTATAATTAGATATGATTTTTACTGACCGGTTACATTTCTGGTTGAGTTTTTGAAATGAACATGTCGGGAAATACTGTAAGAGTGTGTTGACATCAGTGAGATTGTGATAGCATATTCTTTTTGGAGTTGACAAGTAATAAATTGCAGGCTTAAATTAAAAGCTGACACCACTTTTACTTTTTAAGACAATGATTTGCTCTAAAAACAAAACAAAACCTCTTTGGTGACCTTTAGTTTTGAAACTGATTCTTGAGTGATGGGAGTAAGTAGAATTCAGAGTATGTTAGACTGAGTAATTAGTCTAAATTTACACTCTAGATTGAGTTGGGGTGAGAAAATGAAAGCAGCGTTAGGGCCAACATGAGAGAGAGATCATTTGGGAAAATGTTTTTCTGTGAATGTAGTTTATCTTTCATACTGTCATTTCAGGTAGTTTAGTGATACTGTTCATCTTACCGAGAGTGATAAGAAGCTAAGTCTGTATCCGATTGTAATGGCAGAGTTAAATTAAAATTTTCCAGCTCTGCCATTAAGTAGCTATGTGACTTCGAATAAGTTAATTTTCTGAGGTTAGTTAACTGGAAATATGGTAGAATGTCAACAAAAATAAGATAAGGATGAGTATGTTTTAGAAAGAAAGTAAGCTGGAACATGGTGAATTTGAGGTTTACTGGATGTCAGCATTAGATATGCAGGTGGGGGGAGAACATGTGGTTGGAAGAAATGTTTGATTAGCATAGATGGCATGTGAGAGAGATTGTTGAGATAAGTTTAAACAGTAAATTGGGACCGTATGGTGTGGAAGGCCTTATGTGTCAGACTAAGAGTTTTAGATGTAATTCAGTGGATAACTGGGCACTTTTAAAGGTGTTTGAGCAAGATCATACATAGAATTCTTCCTTCAGAAATATCTGTTTGATGGCAATAGAGTGCAAAGACTTCTTGGAGAAGTTTTGGCCTTCCCTGTGCCTGTTACTCAGTGAAAATCTGTTTCGGGAACATGCTGCCATGTTTTTAGTAAGCCGTTTTTACTCACTGTGGGCATAGGTAAATCTTTCATGTGTATTTTGTTTTTGGCTGTCTGTTCAGAGTAGCACAAATGAGGTTGATAATTAAAGTTTTCATTTCATTTAGTTAGAATTTGACATTATGAGTAGATCATAGAAAGAGGGGGATTGTTCACCCTTTTTTTTGTAAGCCCAGTGTTGTAACTTGTGTATATAACTTATCTCAGTAATTCAGAATGCTGTGTTTTTTGTTTAATACAGTATTCCCTATTATAAAATAGTTTATTCCTTTGTGACTATCAGGATCTTTTATAGAAAAAGAAAGACTAATCTCAAATCTAATTTTTTTTTTCAAAATAAATTATTTTTAGGTGTTTTTAGCCTTAGAATTTAGAGCTTATGATGTATAAGTATTGTGAATGAATTTTTTCTTGTACTATCCCTGATTTTATTTATTAGTTATTTTAGAATTCTAAATTTATATAGTAAAGTCCAGGGAAGGAAATATTGCAGAGTGGTTAAATAAGAGAGAATGGACTTATAAACTCTCTAGTTTTAAATCTCAGGTCCATCATTTCTCAGTGTTGTGACTCTGGGGTTGTTACTTAGCCTTTTTATGCCTTTGTTTCCTCATCTGTGAAAAGGGGATAACGTTGTTGTTGGGTGCCGTTGAGTTGATTCCAACTCATAGCAACCCTGCGTACGACAGATTGAAATGCTGTCCTGAGCCATCCTCACACTGTTGCTATGTTTGAGCCCATTGTTGCAGCCACTGTATCTATCCATCTTGTTGAGGGTTGTCCTAGTTATCTAGTGCTGCTATAACAAATACCACAAGTAGATGGCTTTAACAAAGAGAAATTTATTCTCTCACAGTCTAGTAGACTACAAGTCCAAATTCAGGGTGTCAGCTCCAGGGGATCGCTTTCTCTGTTGACTCTGGAGGAAGGTCCTTGTCATCAGTCTTCCCTTGTTCTGGGAGCATCTCAGCGCAGGAACCTAAGGTCCAAAGGATGCACTTTGGTTCTGGCATTGCTTTCTTGGTGGCATGAGGTCCCCATGTCTCTCTGCTTGCTTCTCTCTTTTATATGTCAGAAGAGATTGGCTCAGGACACTATCTAATCTTGTAGATTTCATCAATATAACTGCCACTGATCCATTTTATTACATCATAGTGATAGGATATACAAAACATAGGGAAATCACATCAGGTTACAAAATGGTAGGCAGTCATACAATTTTGGGAATCATGACCTAGCCAAATTAACTCATGACAAAAATTGACAGATATTTTTGGGGGACACAATTCAATCCATAAGAAGGGTTTTCCTCTTTTTTGCTAACCCTCTACTCTACCAAGCACGATGTTCTTCTCCAGGGACTTGGTCCCTTATGATAACATGTCCAAGGTACATGAGACCAAGTCTCGCCATCTTCACTTCTAAGGAGCATTCTGCTTGTACTTCCTCCAAGATAGATTTGTTTGTTTTTCTGGCAGTTCATGGTATATTCAATATTTTTCACCAGCACCGTAATTCAAAGGCATCAATTCTTTGGTCTTCCTTATTCATTGTCCAACTTTCATATGCATATGAGGTGACTGAAAATATCGTGGCTTGGGTCAGGCGCACTTTAGTCCTCAAAGTGACATCTTTGCTTTTTAACACTTTAAAGAAGTCTTCCGCAGCAGATTTGCTCAGTGCAACATCATTTGATTTCCTGACTGCTGCATCCATGGGCATTGATTGTGAATCCAAGTAAAATGAAATCCTCGATCACTTTAATCTTTTCTCCGTTTATCGTAACGTAAGTTATCCTTTCTAGGATGGTTTTGAGGATTGAATGAGCAACTGAAACAAATGTGCCTGGCTCATGTTAACATCTCTAAGTTTTACTGTATTGGGAAGTAGAAGCAATTAATCTGCCAGATGTTACAAGGCGTTGGTTGGGTGGCAGTTTATCTTGTTTCAGGAGCTCAATGTGAGGGGCTGATAAAGTAAGAAAAATTTACACCAGTTACACTTGTTCATACACACATCCTTCAAAAAGAAGATAAACCACATGGACTTGGGAGTTCGACTTGTTTGAACCTGGCCCTCTGGCCTCTCAGCTCTGTGACTTAGGGCAAGTTGTTGTTTCTTTTCTCTTCTCCCCGTTTCCCCCTCAGCATTTTGAGGTAGGTACTATTATCCGACATGGGGTCATCATGAGTCGGAATCGACTCGACAGCAACTAACAACAACAACGCTGTATTCTCTTTACTTTTACAGATGAGGAAATGAGGCACAGAAAGGTTAAATATAAGTTTTTCAGGGTTACACAGTTGTAAGTGGCAAATCTGGGATTTGAACCTGGGCAGTTTTTTCTCATGGTCCACAGTTACCTGTAGGAGCCTGAGCAGCTCTCTTCTTGAAGGCCAGATGGTAGTGACATCTTCTGGATTTTTCTCTGAGTGTTTTTAGAAATGCAGTACTTGTTATTGTGGTTAACTCTGGAATGAATCCCATTTTACAAAATTAAGATTTTTTTTAATTTAGTGAATCTTTGCAATACTGATTTGTAACCTTTCTCACTTGGTCAAGTGCCAGGAGTACAGTTGTTAATATAAAAGAGACTATGACACTAGATAGGAATAAGGATACATTTTTAAAAATTTTTTAAATTTTTGGTACAATTTTGATGTAGTTCATTTTCCCCTCTGATAGTCATATATGTTTCTAATTCACTTTCCAAGTAGATTGGCCTCTGAATTAGTGGCTTTAACTGTATTATCTAGAAGAAAAAGACAACTGTTTCGTCTTAAGAGTATGCTACCTTTTATTTAGACGAATGAGCTGTGTAATTATTTGCTCCTGCTCTCTGACCCCGAAATCTCAGTTTTACGCAAGCTTATAATTCATTATTTTTGTGGAAAGGAATGTTTTAACTATCTAGTTTGGCAAATGGGAAACTCTGTAGCTTAACTAAGATACCATAACAAGTCATCTTTAAAAAGTGTACACATGTATACACTTTATGAAATCTCCTATTGTTCTAGGTTTTTGTTGTTATTGGCCATTCATTTGGCTCTGACTTACGGTGACCTTGTGTGTAAAAGAGTGAAACATTGCCCGGTCCTGTACCATCTTCATGATTGTTGGTATGTTTAAGTCCATTGTTGTAGAAGATGCTTTTAAACACAGTTCATGGATTTCCTCCTCACCACTCCATCTAAGAATCCTGAAGTATGACATCATGTCCATATAAATCTGAAATTTATATTACATTGTGAATTTAGCTCTCCTCTTCATCAAGGGATACCCTTGGAGGACAAGCCCATGTTTATGATAGCTACATCTCTTTGATTTTTATTTCTATCAGCCTTGGCTATCTTGTCCTTCCAGATGAAAGTGTCCAAATCTTTTTATTAGATTGTCTCTGTTCATGTAATACCTTTCTGTCATCCCTCAGGCTATTTTAGATTGTCTTTTGAGAGAGACCTTTCTCTAGTCTAAACCACAGTTGCTTAGCATCTTCCAACTGCAGGTACAAAATGATATTGTGCAAAGTTAGTGTGCCAGTGGACAGCATATAATACTTACGAAAATGGGCTCTGGAATGGCCCGGGTCTCCCCCTCACTAGTTGTGTAAACTTGAGTAAGTTAATGGCTCTGTGACTCTGCTTTTTTTGTTGTTGTTGTTAAATCTGTTGAAGTGTACTCACAACACTGTAAAAATAGGGCTGTAAAGAGTAAAATTAGTTCTTGCATGTAAAACACTTAGATTAATGAGTGGCATAAAGTAAGCCTTCAGTGTTAACTTTAAACAAAAGAAATACCTTCCTTATGATAATTGCTGTTTTCTTTGTATTTTGGACTCTTTGGCATTTGGACAATGGCACACAGGACTGATGTCTTCAAAGAACAGTGTACAATGACTGTTAGAATCTTTTTCTTTAAAGATAGACAACCCGAAATGTAAGAGAAAATGCAGTGTTCTCTGAAAGTTTTCTTCTGAATTGAGCATATGCCAGTTTAAAAAAAAGGTTAAACCAAAGTTGTTGTTAATTTTATTCAAATACACCTTTTTTATTTTTGGCTTGAATAAAACTAGACAATTTACCTATCTGAAAACATGAGTAAGAAGCTTTGGGTGCAATATATTAAATAAGAATAGAACCTTAAAGCCACTTTTGTTTATGAAGTTTAACACATTGCTGCCTTTTGATAAATGATAGGTTCTAAGGATAGCATTTAATCAGTTTTATAATATATGTGATGATTTAGTCTGAATTAATTAATGGTACTACTTTTTCTAACTTCCTTTTCCTCTTGGCTTTTTCTCTGTAGGTAAAGTTTTGTGTTAACTCATGACAAACTGAACCCTTGCCTGCTCTTCTTATCTTTAGTGTCCTTCCAACTTTGCCTTTATTTCTGCTGAGGTTGTATTCTATTTGTTTTTCAGATGAGACACTTTTTGCTCTTCCTGCTGCATCTGAGCCTGTGATGCACTCCTCTGCAGGCAAGTTCTTTCTGCTAGCCTTTTATCCTCCATGTATTCTAACTTTAACTCTTTAGTTTCCTTAACTCTGCACAGAGTAGTTTGGATTTACTAAAAATTAGCATGGTTCCAAGAATGTTTGTCTCCTGAAAAACTTGAAATCTATATTTTATATGCTTTGTCCAAGGGAGAAATGGATAGAAGCTGATAAACAATTGGAATTATGTAAGGAATTCTTGGACCCTTGATTTACATTTACATAGTGACCATTCGTTTTCTCCAGATACAGTGTACTTGCTTGTAGTTGAAAGGCTTTTATGTAATTGAATGTCAGTCTATGGCATTTAATTATCTAATGCACTTTTCTGTACTGTTAGTCAGACTCCTCTCCCTCTAAAACTAGTAGAAGTAGCTTTCCTCAATTGATATGCCTGAGGTTTTTCTCAAAGACTTGATGTATGTCTTTGCATAGCATATAATTGCCTCTGTACCCATACACATGCTTATTGACAACAGCTTCAGTTCTTTCAGTTATGATTCCAATCTCCTCAGTTGTTAATTTATTAAGTTCTATTAACATTTAATTTTAGTTAACACTAAGTCTTTACTAACACTGTTTTAAATCTGTCATAAAACTTGCATGAATTCTGAGAACACTGGCATTCTCTAACTTTCCTTTCTGTCCGTGGTCACAGAAAAAATTATGGACTTGAAGGAGCAGCCAGGTAACACTGTGTCGGCTGGCCAAGAGGATTTCCCATCTGTCCTGCTTGAAACTGCTGCTTCTCTTCCTTCTCTATCTCCTCTCTCAGCTGCTTCTTTTAAAGAACATGAATATCTTGGTAATTTATCAGCAGTATTACCCACCAAAGGAACACCTCAAGAAACTTCAAATGAAGCTTGTAAAGAGTTCTTAGAGCAGGCAAAAAATCCATTTGTAGATAGAGATTTAACAGAGTTTTCAGAATTGGGGTACTCAGAAATGGGATCATCATTCAGTGGCTCTCCAGGAGCAGAATCTGCCACAATAGTAGCAAACCCGAGGGAAGAAGTAATTGTGAAGAATAAAGGAGAGGATTTAGTTAGTAATACCATCCTTCAGAACCCACAAGAGCTACCCATAGCCATCACTGAATCGGTTAAAGAGGACAACGTTATGTCTCCAGAAAAAACAAAGGATAGTAATGAAAAAGGAGTTGCAGTAGTTTTTAAAGGAGCTCCCATGAGGGAGGAATATGCAGAGTTCAAACCATTTGAGCGAGTGTGGGAAGTAAAAAAAGATAGGGATATTGAAGACAGTGGTTTGGTGGCTGCTGGGGGTAAGATAGAGAGCCAGTTGGAAAGTAAAGTGGATAAGAAATGTTTTGGAGATAGCCTTGAGCAGACAAAGCCTGAGAAAGACAGTGACAGCAGTAATGAGGAGACTTCCTTTCCTGGTACACCAGAAGCTGTGAAAGATGGGTCAGAAGCATATATCACATGTGCTTCCTTTAGCCCAGCAGCAACCAAGAGCATTGCAACAAACATCTTTCCTTTGTTGGAAGACCATACTTCAGAAAATAAGACAGATGAGAAAAAGATAGAAGAAAAAAAGGCCCAAATTGTGACCGAGAAGAACACTGACATCAAAACGTCAAACCCTTTCCTTGTAGGAACACAGGATTCTGAGACAGATTATGTCACAACGGATAGTTCGTCAAAGGTGACTGAGGAAGTAGTGGCAAATATGCCTGAAGGTCTAACCCCAGATTTAGTACAGGAAGCGTGTGAAAGTAAACTGAGTGAAGCTACAGGTACAAAGATTGCTTATGAAACAAAAGTGGACTTGGTCCAAACATCAGAAGCTATGCAGGAGTCCCTGTACCCTGTAACACAGCTTTGCCCCTCATTTGAGGAATCTGAAGCTACTCCTTCTCCGGTTTTGCCTGACATCATTATGGAAGCACCATTAAGTTCTGTTGTTCCTGGTGCTGGTACTTCTGCAGTGCAGCCCAGTTCACCATTAGAAGCTCCTCAGTCAGTTAATTATGAAAGTACAAAACTTGAGCCTGAAAATCCCCCACCATATGAAGAGGCCATGAATGTATCACTTACAAAGGTATCCGGAATAAAGGAAGAAATGAAAGAGCCCGAAAGTACCAAGGCAGCTGTTCAAGAAGCAGAAGCTCCTTATATATCTATCGCATGCGATTTAATTAAGGGCACAAAGCTCTCTGCTGAACCAACTCCCAATTTCCCTAATTACTCAGAAATAGCAACAGTTGCTCAGCCAGTGCCTGATCATTCTGAGCTAGTTGAAGATTCCTCTCCTGATTCTGAGCCCGTTGACTTATTTAGTGATGATTCAATACCTGAAGTTCCTCAAAAGCAAGATGAAGCTGTTACACTTGTGAAAGAAAACCTCACTGGAACGTCACCTGACTCAGTGGTAGAACGTGCTGACAAGGAAGAGCTCAGTCCTTCACCGCCTGAAGGGGGAAAGCCATATTTAGAATCTTTTCAGCCCAGTTTAGATAGTACAAAAGATACCTTACCACCTGATGAACTTTCAATATTGACCAAAAAGGAGAAAATTCCTTTGCAGATGGAAGAGCTCAATACCACAGTTTATTCAGATGATGGCGTATTTGTTTCTAAGGAAGCAGTAGCGAGAGAAAGTGAGACATTTTCTGATTCATCTCCAATTGAGATCATAGATGAGTTCCCTACGTTTGTCAGTTCTAAAACTGATGTCTCTCCTCCAGTGGCAAGAGAATACACTGACCTAGAAAGATCCCACAAAAGTGAAATTGCTGATGTCCAGGATGGAGCTGGGCCATTGCCTTGCTCAGAATTACCCCATGACCTTTCTCTCAAGAGTATACAACCTAAAGGTGAAGATAAAATCCATGTCTCAGATGAGTTCTCCAAAGATAGGTCTGATATATCAAAGGTGCCCTCACAGCCTCCTGATGTTTCTCCTTTGGCCACCCAACCAGAGATAGGCAGTATAGTCAAACCCAAAGTTCTTGTGAAAGAAGCTGAGAAAAAACTTCCTTCTGATACAGAAAAAGAGAAGAGATCACCATCTGCTATATTTTCAGCAGAGCTGAGTAAAACTTCAGGTAATCAATCCATACACTGTTTGGTGATTTCTAACCACCTTTTGGCTTGTTGTGGACCATTTCGCTATGCTTTGTGTAGTATGTTACATTTATAGTGTCTGATATATTGCATCGATAGGAATTCTTTTCCACCATCCCATTTTAAGGTTTTAGTGCTTTTTCTACCCTTCTTGCTCTTAATTTTTCACTGGTGACTTTTATTTTGTACCATAGAGCTAGAAAATATTTTAAAATTAGAGTTGGCTTCTTTTTTCTTTCTTCTCTTTCTTTTTGTCTAAGTGATTCTTGATAGTGTATAGAGCAAGAAGTATTAAAATATTTTCAGATGTTTTATTTTTGTTTTACCAAAAATTATTTCACTTTTAATTTAAAAAGAAAGAATATTTCTGTAACATTTTTCTAATATTTTAATATAGCACAGTATTTTCCAGTGATACCTTTAAGGTTAGGCATATTGAGTAATAGACATTCAAAAAATGTAAATTTAGGTATGTTATTATGAATTCTTCTGAAAAGTACCAGTTCTCGTTTTTCTTTTTAACTCTACATTTCCCATATACCTGATCTGCTTAAGGTGATTTGCACGTTTGCTTTTTATTTAGCATTCTAATTTAGCTGTGTTTTCTATAAAAATATATAGTGATTACTGTGTATTTACTGAATATACTTGGGTTATTGTGTATTGGAAATGGGTAGCACTAGTGGCAGAGAGACCAGTTTAGAGATGTTGTTATAATATAAGAAAGAGGAGATTTTGACCATTAAGGCAGTGGGGTGAACATGGAGACATAGGACTTGGTTTTTGAGTGGATATGGAAATGAAGGATAAGAGGAGGCGTCAAAGATAACTCCAGGAAACCCATGTTCCTGGCATGTGCAAACACTCGGATGGCAGTATAAGAAACTGAAATAGGGAACATGAGAGAATAAAGTGGGTTTGAGGAGAGAAGTCAAAGAATTCAGTTTTGAATATGTTGGTTTTGGGGTACCTATGAGACATCCAAGAAGTATGGATGTTATATGTGTGAAGCTCTTTAGAGAGATCTTGACTGTGTATGTATATTTGCCACGGGCTTAGAGATAGTAATTAAAGCCTCTGATGTCAACTAGGCAGAGCGAAGAGAAAAGAAAGATTCAAGAATGGACGGAGTGGTCAACATTATTAAATATTAGAGAGGTTAAGACAAGGATTGAGGGTTTTTCAACAAGGAGGGCAGGGGTTGGTTGATATTGGTAAGAACATTTACAGTGGGTGATCACACACGTGATCTGCTTAAGGTGATTTGCAGATCAGTAGGCGAGTGGGCAGGGGTAGGATTGAGCAATGAACAGGACCTAAAAATAGACACTAAATGTTGATGACTCTTAAGAAATTTAACTGAGAACATGGAGAAAGAGTGTTAGCAGGAGAGAGAGCATGGCTTTGAAAAAAAATTTTTTTTTTTTTTTTTTGAAGATGGGAGCAAAATCTGATTAAAAGTGCTAGTAGAGGGTCAGGACGGGGTAGGATAAGATCCAGAGTTCAGGTAGAGGAATTAGCCTTAGAAGGGGAGGAAGGATACCACTTTGATTGTAGTTAATGGAAAGGAAAGCATGGGTGTTGATACTGCTAGGGTTTTGTGGCTGGAAGTTGAGGGAATTGTTTGATGGCTTATGTTTATCCTTTAAAGCAGTAATTTAGGTCATTTGCTGAGAAAGAACTGAAATATGCCTGGGGGGAAGAGGTCTGAAATATTTCTTCTGACTAGGGAAACAAAGGAATTGCGTTAAGAGACCAGTAGAAGTCTGTGGTCTGTGTAGTAGGGTGACTTTTTCTCTGTGCCCAAAGCCCAGTTATGGGTTCAGAGAAAGCAAATGGTTGTATTGAGTCAAAGTTGGGTTTCGCTAGATGGGCCCAGTAGAAGGACAGTGAGTCAAGGAAGTTGAGGATAATAGCAAGAGGGTAGTTAAAAGTGATGGACTGTGGCATAGTAGTTGAAGGATGTGATGAAAAGATAGGAGGAGACTAGAAGGTCACAGAACTCACGGTCCAAATGAGGTCCAAGAGCCAAGGGTAGTGGGAATAAAAATGTGAAAGCTAGAGTGATAAGGGTTGTGGTCCGAGTAGGATTGTGTATGGTTTTGTGCATGTGTGTGATGTTGAATATAGAATTTAAGAGGAGCAGCAGTTCAAATTGATTACAATGTCCAGAGTATGATTGTGGGGCGGGGGCTAAAATGGAGTAGGGTGAACGTTGCCGGAGGTGAGGTCAAATAACTATGAGACCAAGGTGTTAGATTGTTCTTCTGTGTGGACATGGATGATGGCAGGACTTGGGATAGAGAGGAAGGTAAGAATCTAGGGTGAGAGTCTTCAGTCAAGGTCAGCAAGGCAACTGGCAGGACAGTAGGTGGAAGCACTAGGGAGGAATAGAGAATGACATGGCTGAATAGCCAGGACTTACCCAAGGGCTCTGAAATAGTCTGGAAGCAACAAGGAGGGCATTGGCCTCCTCCCGTTGCTGAGGTATGTAGGGTACAGGAGATTAAGCAGCCTCCATTTTTAGAGTGCCACAGAGAAAGCGGTGTTCTGAAGGAGAGCCACGCTTTAGCGAAGGTGAGGTCATGTATGGCATGCTCAGTAAGGAGATTGAGGACTAGGGGATCTGGTTCACAGTGGAGTGGATGGCTCAGATAGCACAGTAAGATAGCTAAGGAGGGAACAGTAGAGCCGCATGATGATGACAATGTAGGTGAAGACCAAGGATAAGTAGGGATGTCAGCCTGTAAAGTCCATCGCCTCCTCCCCTGCCCCAGCATTCCCTCCCAAGACTTAATCCTGGCAGTCCTCTAGCAGATGGGGCTGGTCAGGTATTTCAAGTGTCAGCTATATTGGGAAACAATCTGAAGTAATATATGCTCATTGTACAAATTTGAGAAATGATGGAAAAAATTTGTAATCTTAATCAGTGTTAATATTTTAGAATATATTCTTCCAGTCCATTTTCTATGCATATAGTACTTTATGAATGTAATGAAAATATTTAATGTTTTCTAAAATTGGAATCATAGTCTACATATTGTTTATAAGCTACTAAAAACTAGCAATATATAATGCAAACATTTCTTTTATATTCTTTAAATATTATTCTTTTGCATGATTTTTAATGCTGGTGTTCCATGGTATGTATATATTATAATTTAACCAGTGATTTCTGCTGTTGGATCTGTAGATTGGTTCCAATTTTTTATTTATAAATAGTACTGTGGTTAACCCTTCATATTTAAATATGTTTTGTGTATCTCTGAATGTTCTTTTCCGTAAGTTACTAGAAGTAGAAATCCTCGGTCAGTAGGTATTAGCATTTTAAGGGTTTAGACAAAAGTTAACAGCCAGAAAAATTGTACTGATTTTACCCCATAACAGTGTAAGGAAACATGTATTTATCTACTACCTCCAACACTTGATATTATTCATTTTTTTGGATAGATAATAGTTGCATGTTGTATAAAATTTAAAAAGTACAGTGACAGTAAGTCTTCCTATCTCGGTTGCCTAGCCACCTAGTGCTCCTTCCCAGAGTCACCTGCTAGGACTTATTTCTTATGTGTCCTTCAGACGAATTCTACTTGGTATTTTTTAAAACCTTACCGTTTTGATAGCTGAAAATGGTATCTTGTACTTTTGATCTTTGATTACTAGTGAATGTAAACATGTTCCATATATTTATTGACTGTTTGCATTTTTTTTTTATGAATTGCCTGTTCGTACCCTTTGCCCATTTTTAAATTTAGGTGTTCATCTTTTTCTAACCGATTTTTTGAGGCTTTTTATGTATCAAGGATTCTAACTCTTGTCATGTGTTACAGTTTTTCCCCAGTTTTCTGAAAGCCTTTCCTTTTAGCTAACATACTTTAGTGGATGTTTTCAGTCTTCACTTAGGAAAATCTGTAACTTTTAATTTATTGACTTATTTATAGTTTGATTTTTGCATTTAGTTCTGATCTAATTAAAATTGATTTTAGATTCTGATTGGAGATCATTTTATCCCACGTGCCTTTTTGGTTGTGAGGGTGTGGTGGGGTTTTTTTTTCTCATCATACTCTAGTTCCCCCCCGAAACCACAGTCCTGGAGAGGGGCCAGAAAACTGAGAGCTCAGTCTGTGCAGAGTGATGCTGTGGATATGGAAGTCAACTGTAGACTGGGCATGGGTGCCATCTAGTGTTGTACATGGAAAACAGGTCTGTGGAATGCGCTATGGTTGACCATATAGAATAAATTCATCTGGGTAGAGATATGTAGTGAGTTGTGGGTATTTATTTCACACTAACGAACGATGAATGATTTTATAAATGATTTTGAATTTTGACCCCTTGTTCTGGATCAGGCAAATGTTTGACTCCTGTTACTGAGTATAAAAACAGTGACATGACCTTAGAGACTTCCTCAAGCCTGTGTACTTTAATGAAAATTTAAATGTCTCAAAGGATCTCTTCAGAGCCTAATGACTATTAATTGTTAAATTCTGAGTTTTAAAATATTTTGGAATATCTATATATTTGTTTTATATTATTATATAAGAAGTTAGCATTATTTAGCTCTCATTGAATACTATTACTTTCAATCTTTTTCCCAGTGGATTTTAGTATTCATTTTTAGCAGCTTCTGTGAAGTTGTTTATAGAATTTTAAATGTTCATGATTTTTTGCTGTTTTAACCAGTATTGTCATTTTCTGGATTGATGTCTTTCTCCGTCTCTTTAGGTTCAGTTCAGTTGTTAGGAGTGCTATGATTTAGTCCAGGGTGCATTCTATACAGTGGATGATAGGACTTTTTAATTGTTTAATACTTTTCAGAAATGAAACATATGTTTAATTTCATACCTTGTGTGGCTCAGAATAATTAAATTTTGAAGTAAGTTTTAAACTACTGTGTGGATATAATTGTTTATTAAAAAAGAAATAGGTATTATAGCTATCAAGAGTAGTACAGCTCAGTCCCCAACTTAGAGAGCAGCACTTTCAATCCAGATGACTGCTGCTTTCCCACCTTATTTCCCTTGCAACCCTGAACATTGTAAAGAAAACAAAACAAAGACTTACGTTTTTCTTAGATTCAGAAGTAGAAGAAGGAAATCACTACTGCCTATCCCAGAATACCTTTGTCTGCCGTCTGCAGTCCTGTCAGATACCAGCCTCTGCACGCACACGCATGCACGCACACACACGCATGCACGCACGCACGTGAGCGGGTTAGAGAGAAAGGCATACTTTTTTTTCTTCAGTAGGAATTGATTTAATATAATTTCCCTGCTAATGAGATAAATAAACTAAGAAAATGAGAGTTTTGATTTGAAATGTAAGAAGGGAAATGTAGGGAGTCTAGGGGGTTTTAGGGCATGGTATCTTTTGAAAGGAGTTAGGGGCATGCTTGGGGAGGTTTTCATTCATTGCTTTTTGTCATGCTTGGGGGGACAATGCTGGGGATAGGGACATTGAAGAATGGGAAGCTGCCAAACATGAACTTTGAACAAGTTTATTTAAAAAAATAACTGATGTTGAGTTCAGGGAAAGGAGGCCCCCCTCCCCTCACACACACAGTGTGCAGCAGGATTTAGAATTCAGACAGTACTTTGATTTACTTACGTCATTATCAATAAAGGAAACTTCTGTGGACCCTCATTTGGAAGCCTTTGCATCATTTATAGCATTTGCTTTTAAGGGAAATTAAGTCCCTTGTCCAAAATTATCAAAGTGCCTTTTTGGAAGCTGAATCCTGTCTGCTCTATATGAAAATTGTCCTTGAAAGAGATCTTATTTTCTTAAAGTGTGTTAAGTATTTGAAAGAAAACAAGACAAATGAAGATATCATTTTAAGATTTGTGTCCTGCCTTCATTTCACCTGTTAAATTGGGATTTAATGTGGAGTAGGACCCATAAACTGCATATATAAAAGTTTTCTGCTGAAGAATAATAGAACTCTACAGAAAAGCACGCTAGTTTTTGAGTGTGGAGGGAGCACTTCTGTTTAGAAGGGTGTATGAATTATTGCCTAGAATGGAATGGCTTAATACATGAGCTTTATTAGATTTGTCTTACATGCCTTGTCCCTGTGGCTTGGTGGCTATATTTAGCATAATATTAATAATAGTAAATGACTAGCACTTACGTAATGGTGCTCGCTTTGTGCCAGGTACTGTCCTTAGGTCTTTTGGATACACTAACTCATTTCATGCTCACAACAGACATGGCCCATATGGCGTCAAGTTTTAATCCATGTGTCTTACATCGAAATTTCAAATTTAAGCACTCCTCGCTTAGCTTACCAAGCGTAAAACAACTGTGGTCTACAAAATTCCTAGGAAATGGGTAAAATGTCAGATAATTTCCATGACTTGGTTTTTCCCACAAATTTAATAGCCTGAATTGCATAGACCATACCAATTAAAGGATACGGTTGTTGTTATGTAAGGTAGAAGCCCTGGTGGCACAGTGGTTAAGCGCTTGGCTGCTAACCGAAAGATCAGTGGTTCGAACCCACCTGCCGCTCTGTAGGAGAAAGATGCAGCAGTCTGCTGCCATAAAGATTACAGCCTCGGAATCCCTTTGGGGCAGTTACTCTGTCCTGTAGGGTCACTATGAGTCGGAATCCACTCGACGGCACACAGCCACTACAACAGTGTAACGTAGAAATGCTTTTTAAACTTCAGGGCTCCCATTTTGTCTTCAGTCCTCCAGGGGAACTATTCAGTATGTCTAGATGAGTAGGTAGGTATGTGTCGTCACACATTCGTGCCACTCCCGGGCTGTTTCTGTTTGTTCTTAATTGTTAAACGGAGTTATCACAGAAGATGAGAGTAATATAAATACTAAACACCTCGTTCCCAGAAATCTTTTTCTCTCCTATTGGTGTACTAATCTCTGGCTTGAAAAGAGTGTTTGGGTGCTGTGTTTGAGGGCTTTATTCTAATGCTGAAGTATTTGAGGGCTTGCAGTTTTAAGGAATTTATTACTAGAAAATACCATCTTGGAAATGCAGTGCTTACTGACCAGTGTGGGATTCCAAACTGCTGCATGGAGAGGCCGACGTTTTCAGCCATGAGATGACTTGGTGATAGGGCCCTCAAACATCAGGTTAGGCAAAGGTCTGGTGAATAAAGTTTAGTGTTAACTCTTGAGCTGAGAATATCGAACTCCCTTTAAAAATTGCTTTGCTTTATTTATGTTTGGAGTTAGAGAGGCAGATAGGGAAAGAAATGAGTCATTGGCATTCAAGCCACTTCTTCTGATATTAAGGATTTTGCAGTCTTTTGCAGCTCACACAGTTTCACAGCAAGTTCCAGAAAATATTATCCCTATTTCAGTGTAGCTATACAATCTTAAAAAGTATATCCTTTGGTACATATAATACTTTTAGTCATACCACATTTTTTAATATTTTAACTGATTTGTCATTATTGTCTTTCGTGCTTGCTCAGATAATAGCATTAGGTAAACCTGCAGTGGGACATTGGTAAACACAATATTCTGCATCGGAACGAATGCCAGTTCTATAAAGTTGAAGAAAATATTTAGAAATGCTGTACTTAGAGATTTGCTTTTGTAGTTATCAGAAAAATGTTAGTTTGCTCTTATGTCACTTTCCTAAAGCAAATGATATAATTAGCCCGTAAATATTTCACCCCAAGTGAAGCACTTATTAATAGCACTTGAGGTGGTGTCTAATGAGTATTTATTGAAAGATGGAGTTGGAGCAGGTGATGATCAAGAAAGAGTGTAGGTCAGGCTCTGTGTTTTCATGATGGTCAAAGAGGAAAAAGCACTACAGTAGAAAGATGAGATTTGCTGAAATTAAATAAAACTTTTTCTGCTGCGGTAGCTTGTACTCTCTAAGCACTGATAAATGGACTTGGTGATTCTCCTCACAAACCCTTGTACGGGTGTGAAATGCCAAATGCTTCAAGCCTTCATGAACTTAGAAGACACTCAGCAGTTCCCAGGCTTGAAATTCAAACTCTCTCCCTTCTTTGGATCAGTCCATTTTTTATCTTATCGAGTTTTGAGCTTTAAGTGAAACTGGAAACCAAGAGCGTAATCAACCACTTGTGAAAAAAAAAAAAAAAGACCACCAAAAGTGCACATGGCTCTAAGTGCGTTTCACATATATTCGGTGGTAGTAGCTCATTTGAAAGAACAGCCCTCTTTCCCTTTCTCTTGCTAGCCTGCCCCTCCCCCTGCAGATGCAGCCCCATTTGGTGTGAGCAGAAGCAAATGACTAGAACAATAAACAGAAGGGAGGCATTAGTGCCCGAGTATTAGTAGCCTGGTTACTGGTTGCACTGCGTCACACGTCCACACCCAGAAGACGTCAGGTGACTTGAGCCCTGCTGCAGTTGAGCAGCAGAGGAGACTGCAGACTTCAGGCCAGGGAACGGTTATTTCATGTCTCAGGGAGCAGATTTTTGCACCTCCAGCTTCTCCGTTGGTATGCATAATTGATCATTGCAGCTGGAGGGCGGGCAGATCGTGACGAAAGATGGACAGTCAGAAGAAAAATTGGAAGGACAAGGGTATATCTGCTTTTTTTTCTGTTTTTATATGTAATCAGTAATATCTTTATATAATAAGCTTTGCAGTTTAGATTCATTTGGATTGAAAACAAAGCGTATAAGGCTTAAGGCTAAGGATTTAAATAGCTGTTTCATATGTGTTTTTGCGTTCGACTGTGCTAGAAAATGGCACGCTGTTCTGTCTCGCCGGCATCTGGTCTTGTCTTTGTAGTTGTGTGGCGTTTGGGTTCAGTTCTTTAATGTGATCTTTTACACGTAAACAGTGTCGTTCTGACGTGTTGCATTTGTTGGTCCTTTCGGCATTATAAATCTACACGGCTGTCTTTGTATTTTGTAATGACATTTTCTGTGACTATAAAAATAAGCTGACTTGGCGTAGTTGAAATTCTATCCAAAGGTTTGTAGGTAGCAAGATACTGCGTTTTGCAATAAGCCTGTTTTCTTTGGAAATCTGACTTGAACCTTTAAACTTATTACCAGATGTCTTTAATCAGATTACATTTTCATACGTCTTGAAATCGTTAAAATGTATACACAGTAGTTTTAAACGCAAGTGTGTATTTAAGTTGCTAACCTTTGTCCTTGTAATAACCAATCAGTGATCTTGATCTCCTTTCCTCCCTCCTGAAAGCACAGGCCCTTTCAAGTCTCAGTGGGCCATTGTGTAAGAATTTCAGCTGGTAAGTGGTAAAATGTTGACTGTAATGAATATTTAAAAAAGTATTTTATGTGGCTATACGTGCCATCAAAAAAAGGGTGGTAGGCTGTGTATCTGACCACTTAAATTGTTTTAAAAATTATTAAAGCTATTTTTAAGTAGCTATAATAGACATCCCACACAAGCATTTTTTTTTTTTTCTAGATACATTCAAGCTTTGTAATTCTGTTTAAATGTAATTTCCTTCTACAGCCAGCTTGTTAGCAGAATTGGTGATAATGTTTCTAAAAGCAATATGTGGAGCTAATTACAGTAACTTGCACACCTTTCTTTGAAAAATTGTTCAATAAAGAAATCTGAGAAGAGGGTAAGCTTTAGATTCAGTTCCTGTTGAGTCACTGGAAGGATTTTACAGTTACAGCGAAAGAATAGGAAACAGAGAGCTTGTACCTTTAGGGTTCCTTTTGCATGTGGACTTAATGAAGGGAAGGATTTTTATTTCTTCTTCCTCATGGGTCATTAGAGTGAAAGGTGAACGGGGACCCTTTAGTTTTTGGTAAGTAAAATTGGTGTGGTGATAGCACTGCAATAAGTGCAGGCTTTAAAAAATAGGCGAAAAGTCACATCAGGGCCCCCTCTTCAACTATTAAGGTTTTGAATTAATAGTTTAGACCTTAGACATTTAATAATACCTCAAGTTCTTTATTTGCTGAACTAATTTAGAGGATACTTTGAGATAAGAGAAATGTAAGATCCAATATAATCCATATTAGACCAGAACTTTGATTATTTTTAGAAACCAAATATAAAATCAAATTTACTCTTGAATGTCTCTGGAGAGCCTCACTTAGTATGTAAGTGGAATGGCCTAATACTTTTTTTAGTACTCATCTTTGACTGTCCTGCTCTGTAAGACTAACTTAACCTATTTTCTGATTCATTGGTGCAGTTATATTTTAGTATTTTCCTTATCGGCAACTAATTTTAATGCTGTAGTTTATGAGGGGGGAGCCCTGGTGGCACAGTGGTTAAATGCTTGGCTACTAACTGAAAGGTTGGCGGTTTGAACACACCTAAAGCTGCCGTGGAACGGGAATTTTTCATTTTATGGAAGATGTGGGACGCGAGTGGAAAGAACCTAATCTAGGTTCTAGGTAGATGGAAAAAAAAATACTTAGGCCCATATTTTTTCTACTGCCTCCCCCCCACCCCCCGCCCCATGCCTTCCATAGTTAGAACACATCCAGTGATGCTGAAGTATAACAGAAGTGAGAAGTACTCTGATTTCAAGGAATTTTTTTTACTTTTTTTGCTGAGTAACTGGGATTTAAGACATTTTATTTCTTTCAGGCTAAGGCCAATATTAATTTGTATTCTTTATATATTCTTCCTCTAGAATTTTCTGTTGCTCTGTGAACGAAGGTAATTATTCCTTAGCAAAAGGATACTTAAGAAATCTACATAGTATTTGATTACTGGGGTTTTATGGGAGGCATTGATTCAGACAGTCAAAAGATTTTGAAGAGCTTAAAATAACAAGGAACGGGTAGGTTTGTGGGTTAGGGTGGGGTGGGAGAGTGATGTAACCACTGAACAAAGCATGGTTGAGACAGGGAATAGAGCTTTCGGCATAGAATAGAATATTTATATGGATAATAGCTGGAAGATTAGATTGGTGTAGTCAAAAAATATGGAAGATTTGGAAGATCTAGGTCAGGTTTCCTCAAACTTCGCAGAAGATGAGAATCATGTAGTGCTTCTTAAAAGTACAGATTGTTCACTTTCTAGATGGTAGACACTTGTTAGTCTTGGTGTTGGGAAAGGCAATAACGAATAAGGTGAAGTCAGCAGAGCTTGACCAGGGTAAAAGATGACACTGAGAAGTACACAAGAGTAAGGGACGATTTTGGTAAAAGCCACAACATAGTAACAACACGAATGACCAACCAAATATGTGTGTGGTTACATAGGTAGATATATGTGCTTGTATATGTGTAGGTAAACACATATGAATATACAGGTGCACATTTTTAGGTGTTTCTGTAGGCAGATGTATATACATGTTTGTGTGTGCTGCATATATATTCATATATAAAATAAAGCACATAGGGGGCAGTTACGGACACTTCCTAGATATAACCAAACATCTCACAGGATTAATTTACTGGATTTGAGAGCTTAGGAGCATAGTCTTGTGGGGCAGCTCGGTCAGTTGGCGTAACATAATGTTCTTCATCCTAGTTTGGTGAGCAGTGTCTGGGGTCTTAAAAGCTTGCAAGCAGCCATCTAAGATACAAGTATTGGTCTCTGTGTGTCTGGAGCAAAAGACAAGAAGGAAACCAAAGACTCAAAGAAGAGACTAGTCTACGGGACTAATAGTCTACACGAACCACAGCCTCACCTATCTTGAGACCAGAACTAGATAGTGCCCAGCTACCACTATGACTGTTCTGACCAGGGACACAGTAGATGGTCCTGGATAAAATGAGGAGAAGAATTTCCTAAAAAAGCCCAGACTTACTGGACCGATAGAGATTAGAGGAACCCCTGAGACTGTTGCCCTGGGTACGCTTTAAACTTGGAACTCAAACCACTCCCAGTGGTCACCTATCAGCCGAAAGACAGAGTGGCTCATAAAACAAATAATAGCACCAGTAAGTACTGTGCTTCTCTAAATAATCATCTAAATGAGACCGAACGGTCAACGTTTACCCTAGACCAAAGATGAGAAGGAAAGAGGGGACAGGACAAGGAAGCTAGATTAACAGAAACAGAACAACCAGAATGGAAATAATGGGAATACTGACAGACTGTGAAAAGTGTAACTATTATTACTGAATAATATGTATAGAAATTCTTAATTAACCTAATTTGCTATATACACAGCAAACTTCTACCAAAAACACAAATATTTTTTAAAAATTACAGATTTTTGGACTACTACTCATACCTACCAAATCAGAGTCTACAGTGTAGGGGCCTGACCATCCATATATTAAGAATCCTGGTATGGTTCATGTTATAATCAGGTGAATTTGGGAAAAACTGATGGAGGTTTTTCATCTTGTTTATGATCCTGTTTTGGTTTTTGCTAGAGTAAGAAACTTAACCCCCCCCCACCTCCCCATTTACCTGGTTTCTAAGGTTCCTTACAGTTACGGGGTTCTCTGGTTTTATGAAAAGACACCCTGGGCCAGATTGCAGAAAGCAGTGAATTTTGTGTTTTATCATAAGGGAAACAACCTTCGGAAGTATTAAGTAGAGAGTGGCGACGCCTGAAAGATTGGTTTGGGATGCTGTTTATGATAAATTGGAGTAGGGAGAACCTAGGAGCAGACCAGCTAGAATGACTGGTTTAAAGCAGATTTAAAGCAAATAGAGCCTGAACATGGCTTGAAATAGGAATGGAAAAGAAGTTGCAGATTTGAGAAACTCGAGGAAAGAATACTTGACATTTGGCATAGAAAGGGGTGGGGAGGGACTTCAAGGACAGATCAAGTTTTAAGACCCAGGTAAGTGTTGTCAGGTAAGTTTTTATGTCAGGAGAAATAGAGCTAAGGTAGGTAAGATGCCAAGTTGAGTTTTAGACACTTTGAAGTGATAAATCATCTCCTCTCTGTCTCAGAGAAGAGACAGGTTTAAGGATAAAGAATTGGGGATCGAATGCAAAGGAGTCAGAGGAGTACTGTGAGGAAGTTTGGTTACGAACAACTGAAGATTAAGGAAGGAAAGCCTAAAACACATTATGGTGGCATTTACCCGAAAGGTTGGCCGTTTGAACCCACCTACTAGCTCCACAGGAGAAAGACCTGGCAATTTGCTCCCGTAAATTACAGCCTAGAAAACCCTATGGGGGGCAGTTCTGCTCTGTCACATGGGGTTGCAGTGAGTCTGAAATCAACTGGCTGGAACCTAACAGCAACAGCAAGGCTCCAGGAAGGAGATCAGGGAGTTACACTCTGAGCAGAGGCAGCAGTCTAGTGTAGTTTCACTGACAGTAAGGGAGAAAATTTTCAAGAAGGAATGATGGTTAAATGCTGTAGAGAGGCTGATTAGTATGAAGACTGAGAAATGGTTGTGGACCCTGTTGAATTTTAGGAGTACGTGCAAAACTCTTAAGTATTCCTAGTGCTTTTTGGATTTAGCAGTTGGCATGTCACGGGTGACCTTTGAGAGTAGTTTCTGTAGGATGGGGACAGAAATGTTTCTAGCATTACAATCCACTTTGATTATACCTCAAGACAAGAACTGCGTAATCTTTGCTTGTGATAAGCTAATACTTTTCTTTCAGAGATTACGGTTACTAAATATGTGGGTACCAGTATAAGCACAAATTGACATTCAGGTAGAGAGGACGGGGTCTTGCAGCTTGAGGTACCTTCCTTCCCCCTGGAAGTACCAGAGACTGCCTGAGAAGGGAACCTTGGCCTTAACCAGCTGGGAGATCTACTGATTGGAAGAAGACCCTTGCTTTCAGTTCTAAACCTCACTGAAACTGAGTGCTTGGACATCCGTTAGGTGTTTCTTCTAGATCTTGGTTTAATAGCGCAGCACTGTGTGTGTATACACACACACACACACACACACACACACACACACACACGTTGTAGAAAATTTAGAAGGTATGTAGATATGTAGAAGAATAAATAGAAATTACTCACTGTCACCTTACACAGAGAATGGCTTTGGTTTATATTTTTAACAGTGTATGTGTGCGTATTGAGGGGAGAGTTACATGGTACATTTTGTTCTGGAATCTCTTTTTCCTGCACTAAATGGGGAAATGCCTTATTTTTAAAATACTCTTCAGTGTTTTAATGGCTACAGTATTCTAATATGTGTACTATTGGTCCCATACAGTTAAATATGCAAGTTAAGCCTAGTGCTAAAATGAATATTAATTTAATATAAGTCTTTGTTACCATCCATGATTATTTTCAGATGTGTGAGTTATAGTACTTAGGCTTTTGGCACATCTTGCAAAACTGCTCCCTAGAAAGACTGTACAAATTACTATTTTGAGCAATACATGGAAGTGTATATCCTGGAACCTTGGCCAAGATGAACTATTACGTATGTGATTCTGGTGGTTTTAACTCTGAGATAGTTATTTTGTCAGTTTTAAGTAATTAAATTACTTAATAAGAACCAGGTTTGCATTAACAAGTAAAAAAGTTTTCTCCTATGTGTGGTTTACAATATTGTATAGATAAGGTGGGGCCCTGGTGGCTCAGTGGTGAAGACCTCAGGCTGCGAACCAAAGGGTTGGCAGTTTGAATCCACCAGCCTCTCCTTGGAAATTCTGTGGGGCAGTTCTGCTCTGTTTTGTCTGGTCACTCTGAGTCAGAATTGACTCAACGGCAACATTTTTTTTTTTTTTTGTAATAGATAAGGTGGAAACAGTGATGAAAATAACTTCTCTGTTTTTTTCGTTCCCCACATTTGGGTATCCCTGATTCTTTACAAAGACTCCTAACTGGTCTTTCCGCTCAATGCCGTGAGTCATAGCCAAATTCATCTTCCAGAAGTGCTGCTGCAATCATGGCACTTAGGGGATTTCCTTTACTTTTCAAATTAAATTCATGCCATCTATTCTGGGCTTTTAAAAGGCATTCCATGGCCTAGTCCCAACCTTTATAATTCCCATCTCCTGTTACTTTGTGTATCCAGCCAAATTGAAATATTTGTTACCTAAACATACCCCATTCTGTGCCTTTGCTCCTGTTTTTCTGCCCAGCCTTTCTTCCCATTTCATTTTGCCCACGTCTTACTTACCAGAGACCCAGTCCATCACTAATCCTGTAGGCAGAGGTAGTCCAGCCTTCCTCAGAATGCCCATTCTCTCATCCTCTTGGTTTTCACTTTGTGCCTTCTGTTACGGTTATTTATACATAGCTGGCACTGTTTATAGCCCATAAATTCCTTGAAGGCAGGAACAGTGGTGCTTCATCAGAGTCCCCCCCACAGCTGGCTCTGCAGAGCTTCTCAGTGAGAGAGGCGAAGGGTGCTGCTGTTCACTCAGGTCACTCCCGACCTTGAACCCCATGCATACATTTTTGGGAAATGTTTAAAATATTCCCAAGTGGGAGAAATTAGAACCAGGATTCCTTCTTCGTAAAGGAAGAATTAAGTAACCTAAGAAACTTTTGTAAATGCAGAATTTTTATATTATACCTAGTGACAAGGCATCTTATTAGTCATTTTTTCTAACTTTCTCATTTTACAGACAAAAAAACCTAAAGGGAGATTAAATTGTTTGTTCAGGACCACATAGCTGGTACCACGGGCCATCGTTTTTATTTTACTGTTTATTTTTGTACTTGAACAACTGAAGATTGGAAACATTCTAAAAGCTAAAATGACCCTTGTTTTGATATTCATGCATATTTGAGTTCTGGCGTCTCACTGAACATGGTATGTATTTCTTTTTGTGGTCCTTGCTCTCTAATAGAGGTCACTAGCCGTGGAAGAATGTAGGTGTGGCAGGTTGGTTGGCCTTGTCAAAAAGTTCCGCCTGGTGGGAACTCCCTGGGCCAGGAGTACAATTTCTCTCAGTTCTTAAGGATTGGATTACATGTTTGAATGTAGGAAAAATATTTAAGCAGTGGGTAGAATTCTTATTCTGTTCTCTGAGTATCCCGAGTTCCCCTTTGATTTATTCACTTAGTCCGTCTCTTGCTAGAATCTGG